CAACGTGTGTACAAAGAATCACACTCCTTGTTTAGAAATGTCATGTGGTTTTACTAGTAGCAAATGAAAATTTCCTTTGATTTTAATAGTAAAAATTGAAATGTTTCACGAATAAATTACATAGCTACAGCAGTAGACATGTCGATCCTGTGAAATGACGGATGACTGATAACAATTGACATAAATAAACTACCCAGAATTTTGGCTATTGGGCTAAAGTGTTCAAATGACTTCGAATATAATTTCGGCAATTAATAAAATTAATTTCGGCAACCATGAAAAACTATTTCAGCATTTCGGATTTGGTGACGATCATTTATTAAGAGAGCCAATTTCGGCTAACATCTTTAGTTGAAACTAATTAACTTGTTATCAAGTTACTTTTACATTAGGTTGAAATCAAGTTCTTTATATACATGTTCTTTACATATTAGCCAAATTGTGCGAATCCGCTTGGTTTGGGTGATTCCACTCAAATTGCACATTTTCACTCAGATTGCGTGAATTTGCTCACTTTGTACTTGGGTGAATCTGCATGTTTTGAGCAATTCTGCCCATTCTGGGAGAATCATCATTAATCTCTACTAAATAAAGTTAAATAAATATGAATGTGTTATGGATTGATTAATAATAATAATAAATCTGTGAAACGTAACACGAATTCAGATGATAATAAATAATTATACACGTTATTGATAAATAAAATAGAAATAATAAAAATAAAATAAATAAAAATAAAAATAAATAATAGATTAAAATAAAATAATAATAAAAATAAAAATAAAATTAGAAATAAAATTTAATTTGACCCGAAATTAAAGGATTCGGCCAAATTATTATCATCATCATCTGATCCTGGTAACAAATCAAATGACTGACATCACATTAAGAAAAAATTGAATTAATCATGTTACAAATTATTAAAATTGAATGATCAATGCTGTTAAGAAAAATGTCAAATGATTAATGATTTCTAAAATAAGATTTAGTTATGACATAACTTACTAAAATAAATTAATTCAGAAATGTTATATTAATATTAAGCAAGCTATACATTTAAAAAATATATATGAATTGATTTATGAACTGCTAA